CAGCAGCAGCAGCAGCAGCAGCAGTACTAGTAGTATGCTTAGCCACTCCATCACGAGCACGCGTGTGTAGCGTATTATTATCTGGAAAGCTCTCCAGTCTCCTTACAATCCCCTTTAACGTGAAAAGGCCTTACAAGTCTCCCACCGCGTTAAAGGCTCTCGCGTTCAGCATGCAGCCGTGTTGTTAACGCGGGCAACAGGTGTCACAGCTTTCTCTGTGGGTGTCACCGGCCCCTGGCGGCGCCGACAACGCGTGTGAGTGAACGACGAGCGACCTCTAACGGTAGAGTGTCAGCGTGGGTAGGTTCGTCGCGGGGGGCGCTGTAACTCAGGGTGCCCCCACCACCTGCTTTGTTCTCACGTGTTATCTCATAGAGGATGTAATAACTCAGTAGTGACTAACGGACGGAGAGAGAGAGAGAGAGAGAAGCTAGAGCGAGAGAGTGAGGGAGAGTTTGTGCGCACATCCGAACACCCGCCTCGTGTTATCTTGCCCATCCTCACTGCTCCCCAAATCATCGTCACTTTTCCACCATCTATTTTCGCTGTCACCCAATCCAAGCTCGCTGTTCTACCCATCCAACCTCACTGTTGCTCTCTCTGCTCTCTCTCTTTCTCGCTCTCTCCCCCCTCTCTCTCTCACTCTCTATCTCTCGCTCTCTCTCTCTCTCTCTCTCACTTTCTCTCTCTCCCTCCTCTCTCCTCACACTCTCTCTCTCTCTCTCTCTCTCTCTCTCTCTCTCTCTCTCTCTCTCTCCCTCATCATAAAATTCATTCTTAAATTTAAATTTAATCGAAGTAATAAGCTTTGAAACGAAGTGTGTGTATGCGTGTGCGTGTACGTGTGCGTGTGCGTGTGCGTGCGCGTGCGCGTGCGGGTGTGTGTGTGTGCGCGTGTGTGTGTGTGTGTGTGCGCGCGTGTGCGTGCGTGCGTGTGTTACTTACGGCATGGGCCTTCGTTACAATCTTCAGTGATCAGATCATCTCCTGTGCAGTTGCTACCACCGTATAACGCAGGAGTCCTGTAACCTCGCGTGTGATTCCTCGTGCCCGGTCCGCATGGCGCACTGCAGTCTCCAGCGACCCAGTCATCCCACTCGCAATTCACTGCGAAATGAAACACGTGTTGTACACCACAATCGCTTATAAGCAGAACCCGTTTTATGGGTACTATAATATACTATACTATAGTATACATATATGCCTACTACTCTATACTGAGAGTGAACGCAGAGTGGCAAAACTGAATCACGCAGAACATCTAGTTAGAACACCATTGCACCAGTTGCATCTGATATATTACAATGAATGAATAAATAAATGTAATATAATGTAATATAATATAATATAATATATTACATTATGCAATTTAATATATATATATAATATAATATAATATAATATATCTGTATAACATACATACATAATACCACAATTACTCTTCAGGGGTAGATAATGCTTACCGTCACAATCGTCGTCCTGCCCATTGCAATGGAATTCACCATCGACACACGTGCTGAAATTACCCAAAGTACTTCCTGATTATATTACAAAAACATTAATGACTATGAAATAAGTCTTAATAAATTAAGTTGACGTATATTATCGAATAAAATTGAATGCAGCGAATGCGTGATAGCGTGGTTCGTGTTATGCCCACTAGGGAAAAAACGTGCGAAATTTATAAAGCAGTACGCATGTATAAAAAAATATTTTAGTTATAGATTTCATAACTGCTGGTTATTTATAAATAGGAAAAGCTATAAAAATAACTAAACAAGAATTTAACAGCGGGTGACAAATGGTCACTTCCTATACTATTATTGTTATTGTTCATTTATTATAATATTATTATTATTATCATCATCATCATCATCGTCATCATCAACATCAACAACATTATTATTATTATTATTATTATGGTAGCGCGCGCAATGCATGACCTACCAATCGAGGCAGCGTTTGCTAAGGACGTAACCGGGCGGGAAGCGGGTTATAGGGTTGCCGTTACTATCCAACGGTTGCACTGTGCCAGCCGCTACGAAGTCTTCACTCCATGCGCAGTAGCACTCGCTGTACGGTACACACTCATCCGCCTGCGACACCTGAAACATCGCAACTAGGGCGTATCAGCCCCCACCCTTCCACGTCTAGTTTCTATGCTATTATAACTTTTGTATTTCGTAATTTACATTTTGTGTGTTCAATTAACATCTCGTAAGAGCGCGTTTCTTGATCTCGTGCTCGCTCTGTGCATCTGCTATAAGTGAATAAAATTTACTCAAAATAATAAATAAAATTTAAATTAAGTTTAATTGATAATAAAATTAAGTGAATATAAGTTAAAATCACACTAGCTTTTTTCAGAGTACTGGTAACACACACTCTCTTAAGCATTCACTGTGGCGTATACCACCCGGTGATTCATTTTATAAATTCTATACGCATCTGCGGCGTATAACATGGAAAATAATACTTGTTCTTTACTCTTCAAGAGCCTATAGTATCACTTCACAGATACAATCGGGGAGTTAACTGTGAGAAATCTTACCATGCCAGACGGGCAGACACAGCCCGGCACACAGTCAGTATCGTTGTAAACACATTCGGAGTAGTCTGGAGACAGATCTTCGCAGAGCACTGGACACTTGTTAGCGCAATCATGAAACTCTAATCCTGGCGGACAATCCACTCCTACATGGCATCGAAAATAATTTGTCATTCACACACGAATTCATCCTGCGACAGCACGCTATAGAAACTCCCGTTTGAATGCAAACAGTGCACCACTGCATGCTAGGGAGATAGTAGCTCCAAGAAACGAATATATATATATTCCTATATAGAAGACCTGTATAGACAATCAGTCGCACAGCCTTGTCGGGCTAGGGAGATAGGAGCTTCTTATAACGATATCAACTGCGATAATGATGGAATATTAGGCTATCACATGATGTAAGTTATCTGGTCACTCGTTGAACGCAACAACTCGCTTAATTGTACAAGATGATGAAGATGACAAATGTAATAGTATGAGTGTATAATAGTATAATCATATGATAATATGATAATTTAGTGGAAGTGATAATGATGATGTTAATGATGATGATGATGATGTTGATTTTTCTTCTTTCTTTCTTTCTTTCTTTCTTTCTTATTATTATTATTAAATACTATTCATAGTAGAGTAGATTTACCGCATGGGTCTTCTCCACAGGTTTCTCTCTGCACGATTGGGTCTTTGCATTGTCCGTTCTTATTTGCCGGGGTGTCTACTGTTCTTGTTCGCTCCCTATAGCCACCATCGCATGTCTGTGAGCAAGGGCCCCACGAAGTCCAATCGGTCATAGTGCAGCTCTCTACACAATGCGATAACATAACAATATATGCATTTCCTCTATATATCCTATATATATCTATGTATATGTCTCTCTCTCTCTCACTCTATATTTTCCCGTCTCTTTATTTTCCCCTCTCTTTCTCTCTCTCTCTTTCTCTCTTTCCTTTCCCCCTCTCTCTCCATCTCTCTCTCTTTCTCTCTCTCTCCCTCTCTCTCTCTCTCTCTCTCTCTCTCTCTCTCTCTCTCTCTCTCTCTCTCTCTCTCTCTCTCTCTCTCTCTCTCTCTCTCTCTCTCTCTCTCTCTCTCTCTCTCTCTCTCTCTCTCTCTCTCTCTCTCTCTCTCTCTCTCTCTCTCTCTCTCTCTCTCTCTCTCTCTCTCTCTCTCTCTCTCTCTCTCTCTCTCTCTCTCTCTATATATATATATATATATTTATTTATTTGTTTATCTACACACACACACGCACGCACACATACACATACACACGCATACAGACACGCACGCACGCGCACGCTCGCACCCACTAGGAAAGCGAAACGGTAAAAAATGACGTCATTGCCGACGGTTAATTTACAAGCTCATCGGAATGCGAATCACGTCATCGACCATTGATTGATTATTGTCGATCAATTATTAATCGCGACCGCATGCGCCATTTGATTAATTGATAAATTAATTGATTGATTAATTGATAAATTAATTGATTGATTAATTGATAACAGTGATACCGGGTATAGTCATTCATTTATTCATGTGTTTATACGTTACTGAGTGAACGTGGTGATATTTGATATTAAATCGACAATATATCTGTAGCAATATGTTTGCAATATAGATGTAGTAATATCTGTCGTAATATGTTTGCAATATGTACTAGCAATATGTAGTACAATATGTATGCAATATGGCTAAAATATGTAGTACAATATCTGTAGTAATATGTTTGCAATATGTAGTAGCAATATGTAGTACAATATAGCTGCAATATGTAGCAGTAATATGTAGTAAAAATTGTAGAATACGTATGCAATATGGCTGAAATATGTAGTACAATATCTGTAGTAATTTGTCTGCAATATGTAGTACAATATCTGTACTACCTTTTCTCGCTTTTGCTCTC